TTATTCAGCGCCATGTGTCAGCGACGCAATCGTCTTTTCTACTCGTTTTCCGCAAAGAATTACACTTCTGAAGGAGAGAGAGAGAGAGAGAGAGAGAAAGAAAGAAAGATTCTATCGAAATCCGAAATGTTCCCTTGTTCATACCGATCGCATGCGAATCTACGAAGCACGCTGAAGTTGCATCCGCTTTTCCGCGTCGCGATTCCGCAAGTCAATTTCAGCCGGCAGCAGCCGTTTCCATTGCTGAATGTGGAAACCTGCCTCTTCCATTTGGCGGAAGCGATTTGCCTGAGCTCCATCGCTTTCCCTCTTTTTCTAAATATTCCTTTGCCGCGCTTAGCGCGAAGATGTCTCCAAATTCGGAAGGATTCTACCGTATCGAATCGATTCTATGACCATTACGACGGTATGGGAGTATAGATCATGATGTATATCATCCATAATAAAAGTTGGGAGTCAAGTGAATGCGCAGAAAGACCCACACTTCGATAGTTTTAAAGATCTTTTTGCTATCGAAGCTCCTGATGTACTTTGTGAAATATTATATTACTTCGGGGAAAACGTTCGTTTCCTTTTAGAAAAGATCCACTTTCATTTTGTAGAGATACTTGGAATTATTTCTTCTTTTTTCTGATTAGTTTAATGGCAGTGAAAAAATATTTTTTAATTTAATAATAGCTAATGTTGATATTAGCTTAATAGTTTGCATATAGAAAAGTATACAGAAAGTTAATACATAAGTTTTCAGATAATTTATATTATGTTTTGCTATTGTGTATGTTTGCGTATTGATATTGCTGTGTACTGACAGCGCTAGGGTGCAGTCGCGTATCGATAGCTAGAACCGTTCGCTTTGATCACTCCATCAGTATGCATTGCGCCATAATGGACATTTACGTAACGTGGGTCCCGTGATTTTGCCTGCCATGCGATATATATATGTTAGTTATCCTCGGCACAAAATCTCTTCTTCAACAAAATATAAATGCCAAACATGATTTACGTCGTGTTGGCAGCTGGCTTTTCGAAAACGTGTCAAGGATATGTTCAACGAAGGTTAGTCACTCTCGTGAAGTTTAGTCGGTCATCCGACTGGCTCACTATTAAATCGCTTGTCTATTTTGTTTGATGAAACGTGACAGGTCGATTAGGGGTACCGTTACGATCATTAATATCGTCGGAATCTCAAACATTTCTCAATAATCAGGTGCGATATGTTATCAGCAGTTTCTTTATAAAGCACATATATTTGATATGTGTATGATATCGAACTTGAAAAGATTAAATACATAAATTAAATTAGAAAAATTTACATATATTCTGCGTTTTATATTTATGATAATAATCCATGGATGTAAAAATTGAATTTACTATGGAATTTTTGAGCGTAATACTTTTTGTTTTCCTAAATATGAAACAAGCATAACGGCACGCTCGACATGATACATAGCGACGGGTATTAAGCTCAATAATGGCTGCTGGCGGATTTGTACATTCGAGCAACGGATTTAGCAGAGTGCGTTGTGAATGCGTGCATTGTGGAACAAACAATGGCGTGGACAGTGTCACCTAAATCCTTCGAATTCTGGCGAGTTTTTTATATTGCCGGGGAGGACATCTCTTAATTACGTCATATATACTTTTTCTTGCATCGTTCTAAAATCATAGCGACTCTTATCGTTGTTACAGTGGATTACCTGCATTTCACGACAAACAATACGCTATTTTATCTCAATATTATTTTAATCTTCCCCTTAATAAAATTTTATATAAATTAATATGAAATTTTAAATAAAAGATCCCTTTTTAAGTGGAAGAATAAAAATTCATTATTTTATAACAATGCAATTAAAAATTGCTCATTAATTCTGCATACCAGAAGTATCATAAAAAAATTATACATTGTGCTATCGAGATCGAAGAAATTAAATTGTAATAATACCGAAACTCGAATAATAAAAATTGCGGTAACTCAAGACCCATTAATGGCTCCTTTAATGGAAGTAATTTGCTTTTTCTTCTGTAATTTATGCGATAAAAAGCGATGTTGTGGAGCCGAAAAAGTGGAACAGGGAGCAAAAGTCGGAGGTGTCTATTAAGAAGTCCGCTGAATATTAACGTGACGAAACGTTTTCTAACGCCACGGCGGCGCGGAGATTAACGAGGCGATTATTAAAATATGCAGTATGCCAGTCTAATTAGTCTGGCGACGAAACCAAGAAGGCGTCTACTTTGTTGGCCTTACTCGTCATCTTCCGCGGTTTTACAAAAGTCACGGACTTTACTACGATGCAATTTCGCCGTATTACCTTGCTTCGCTTAATTTTGCGCGAACCAACGAATTGAATTGATACACTTGTTTATCGCTACTCTTAATAGATTTACCTTTAACATTTCAACAGGAATTAGGAACATTTTAAAGATTTCAGTACTTAAGAATATTATAATTTAAGGATAATAAATATTCGTTGATTAAGAATTTATTATGTCAAATTAATTTAGACCGAAATATCGGAATCGTGGCTGAAATTTTACATTACATCATGTTCTGGGCTAAATGTACGACATCAGCGGTTTACGCAACCGCGTATTAATGTTATAACTCAGCATTATGGCTTTACTATGGAGCGAACATGCGTGAGATTATTATACTGCTGTACATCTTTTGGTGGCAAAAATTTTCGTAATTTTCATTCTTATGTTGTAATATTGTCATTTATCATTTTATCTGTTTATAATTAAATACAGTCTGATGAATCTACCTGAAGCTGATTTTGCAATCAATCTTAATCATTTGTAGTTGCCTATCATTATATAAAAAATTATATAAAAAATATCGTTTTAGACATTTTACCTCGACCCATCTTTCTCGCTGCAATCAAGTTGAGAGCGGCAACTTTCAAATATAATTATATCGAGTAAGCTGGTGAAAGCGACCGCCATAACGTTAAAACGTACAAACTACCGATTATTGTATCCACGCAATCTGTATTTGTGATCAAAATTATTAGAAGTTTCATTCTCTAGTGTAATATACAGATTTGAGATTTTTATTATTGCATATTATTCAATTGTAATTTTATTGAATTATATAACATTCTTCTTCTCACGAATACGATATATCGATAAGCTTGATAGAATTAATTTATTATATATGTTGAGAAATATATAACAAAGAGTCTGCATCATCTAAAAAAATATTAAAATTTATAAATACTATAGAATAAACTCTTGTGCTCTTAATGTTTTAATTGTTATTCCAAAATGTTTGATAACTTTCAACTTATATACAATTAATTTATATATATTAAAATATACGTTTTTAAATTATCGTAATTAAATTATTTACATTATATATATATATATATATATATATATATATATATATATGTACAAGTTTATTTAGTGTAAACTTTATTTTAATATGACTTTATTTTATTACAACAGCTTTATTAGGACATTTGATATCATTCTTATGTAATGTGTATAAATGTCCATACTTTCCCAGAGAGAAGTACGAATACTTTCCACATGGTAGCATTGTTACAATCTCTTTTTTTCGTTAAACCAGAAATAAATTACAGATTGTCTCTCAATTGGGCATTGTTTTTTATACATCTGCAAATGGATACTCAGTATTTTCCTCGTTGCTTTAACATCGACAATATTTTGCATGAACGCACAAACGAGGCCACTGTATGTATACACGCATGACTTCTTCCGCATTGCGTAATTGCAATTGGCAAAATCCTCGGTCACCTGAGTGTAGTCGTCGTGTTTTTCTAGTACGCACATGGTCGGAGAAACTGATTATACTAAAGATTAAAAAGATATTAACAACAATCGAAAAAAACGGGGTTTTTATGGGGCTTTGAGCAATTTAATTTTGTTCTGTAATTACGATTTTTTCTATATTTGCAAATTCGATTGACTAAGTCTGGTAACGGATTATACTTTCGTTGTTGCGAAATGAATATTGTATTATCTTAAGCAAATGTGCAAATATTAATTTTTCGATCTGCGGGCTATAAAAAATTGCAAAAATTTTTAAATTATTTGCAAAAAAACGAGCATGATGTGATTACTTGTGCAATACAAGCGAATAAATTTCTCTTTATTGGATTGCAAAAAATATATCTCGTTGGTTAGTTTTGTTGGCGATGAGTCGAAATGTATGAGAAAGAACCAATATATTTCAATAAATTTTTAAAGTAGACATTTTTGAAGAAGAATGACAATAAATCACAAGAAACTACGAGTAAATTTTTATTATGAATATATAAAAGAACTATTTGTAAAAAACTGGCACGCTGTGAAATGTATGATAAATCAAAGTCTTTGCATTACGATATATATATATAATCAATTTAATAGTTAGAAAAAAATAAAAAAAATATAATATGATTATTTTTTGTTATAAAAACTACAAATTTTGAAGGAAATTATAAGCTTATATATACAAAACATTTTTATAATTATTATTTTATTGAAATAAATTAGCACACATTGCTATTATTATAAATTACATTTTCATGTACTACCTTTTTTATCTCTGAACAATTTTTGGATTTGCAAACACTTTCTTTCCAAGTTTCCCACTACTTGTCATTAAGCACAATCAATATTTGATGGATGTATCTGTTTTTGCATTTTCTTTCAACTTTTATTTCACACATATTGAGAGATTGCGCACATTTATGAATTTTTCCATATTGTTATACACTGAAAAAATTGTATTCTCAACTTAAGAATATGCCACTTATCTTTAGAATATATATTAAAATAGGTGCCAAGAGGATCTCCTCTTTTAGTATATATTCTAAAGATCTCCTATTTTAGTATATATTCTAAAGATAAGTGGCATATTCTTAAGTTGAGAATACAATTTTTTCAGTGTATTCTTATATGACATATATGTATATAGACAAGAGTACTCCATTTCTTTTATCATCCATTCTGAAACGCACTTATCGATATTAATAGCCTCTTCATCTTTTTAGATGACTGTCCAAATTGCGTGGATGAGCACAGTGGTAGTTTGGCGGCTTCAAGATGGACGATGCCCCTGCTGAAGCTGGGCGAGAAGAGGTACTATCTGGGGATCTTCTTCAAGGTATCGCTTCTGCCAGTTACGCTGATTTATCTGACCGAACTGTCGACTCGATCCAACTTTCTCTCTCTCTCTCTCTCTCTCTCTCCTTCTTCCTTCCCCTCTCTCTTTCTCTCTTTTTCCTTCTCGGACTTTATCAAATTATTTCCGAGCTCGTAACTTTCCGGCTTTACCGTCACGGACGGTTTTACGGTGCATCGAATGCCGGGAACCAGCGTAGTAAAGGTCTTTCCGGATAACAGTGACCCTGTGTTGGTTACGACACAGCAAAGAAGCTCGCGTGATAAGAGAAAGAGAATGAAACACGTCGTAAAAAAAACGACGTATGTGGCACGTAAAAGAAAATTGAAGGAGTTCCTAGCAAAAGCGGTTTCAGGTTTTAAACGTCAAACTTACTATTATGAAGAAATTTTCTAGTTATATATAACACATTCAACATTTTTTTTCTTCAATTTGATATTCACAAAATTTTTCTTCTTAATCTCTAATGTTAAATGATACTGTTTACAAATTTTCACAGAGACAGTAATTAGTTATAGCTTTCTTTTTATATTTTAACTTTTAATTATAATTTATTTCTCAAGTTTTTTTAAATTTGCGATACTATGGAGGCAAGTGAAATCTCGATGATTATTATTAATATTGATGCGTGATATCATGCAAATCTTTCAGAGCGACATTCCTGGTTCTGACATGTCCTTTCACGCTCGAATACAATCGTATCGATTAGGCTCACCCTTATTACGGCTTCTCGGATAATCTCAACGCTTTTATTGACTCACGCGCGCTATTAACATGGATTTCCATGCAATTCCGCCATTGCAAATCCGGCTTCGCTGCGATCTTGCTGAAAGTGGATGGCGTAAAGACGTTTAAACGAGCTCATGATAAAAGCAGAGAGAAGAAAACAAGTGGCGTCTCTCTCTTTTAATTGGCGTTCTCTTTTAAGAGAACGAGTTCTCTTTGTTTCCAAAATAAATAATGTTTTCCAACACCTCGGCTATTAATCGAGACCTTGCAAAACAATTCTACTCGTGCAGTAATCAACTTTTTGAGTAAATTGACGAAAGATAGCGAATTTTCTCTTACAGAATGTTGCTTCCTTTGTTTCTCGGTAGAAAACTTATTTAAGAAAAGGTAGTGGTTGCAAGGTGAAAATCAAGTTTTTAGATCACGTATTTTCTACTTGTACTCTAAAAATTCTCAAGTTAGAGTTTAAACTCTGCTATAATTTTGGAAGTAGCAGGTAAAGAATTAGAAATGCTCTACATTAGCGTTTACAGATCAGTTACAATATATATAAATTTAATCAGTTAATTTCAAATTTTTTTTACTTTTTTACCAAGAAATAATGTGCTGTAATTTAGACAAAATATATTTCTTTATTTTTAATCATTAGATTCTCATCTTCAATCGCAACAATATACAGTTCGTATCGTGTGCACGTAGATTTCTCAGTTCTGACATATCTATGTATAGCTTGCCATCGCGAGTGTTACACACTTGTTATTTTGATTAGGAAACATGAACTGAGTTTGTCATGCATGAGTAACGATAGTTTCGTGCCGATGTAAATACAGAGAGGAAATGCAATATTAGTGCAATCGCGACAATGCTCTATTTATTGCGCTTTATTTGCATTCCCGACGAGTTACGTTCGATTTTTTGCATCCTTCTCATTCCTTCTATTCTGTCCTATATAAGTGCCTTCGGCCAAATAACCGAAGAAGAGTGTCAAGAAAATAATGATGAAATTTAGCACCATTAAAATACGAAAGATTCGAAAGATAATATTTACTATATTCCTGAATAAATTCAGGATAATCATTCCTTTTCGAATGAAAAAAACTAAGCAAAAGATATATACATAATATATATTATAATATAATGAATACAACGAATGTCATTACAATAAATAATTAGAAAAATATTGGAAAAGAAAATTGTTATAATTGCAATGACAATTTTGGGATTAAATATTATAGCTATAATGTTATAAGTTTTATACACAATTTCAGATTTATTGAACCAAACTAATTTCAAAAAATATATATATAGAATTAACAACTTTAATTTAAATTATGTCAAACAGAGATTGAGAGCTAACAGTTAAGATAAATAATTTATATAAATTTATTTACAATATTAATTGCTAATGATGTTAACTCAACCTAGTATATAAATCCATTAAAATTAGCAGAAGGTTCCATAAAATATATATAAAAGATATAAAATATTTTCTGAATTGCGATAATTACTTTATCTAAATATTCTCTATATTTAAGAAAATAAGAATTTCATTGGATCGTAGTAAATGTTATGTTTATTATAATCAGATGTTATTTATTTAAATAATACTTTTCTAAAATAAATAATAATTTTATTAATAATAATAACGTATTTGAGTCGGCAATAGTCGACAAGTTTGAGTTAATTAACATAATAATATTATTGCGAAATTTTGTCTGAAACAATACGATAATTTTGCAGGGTTATCAAAAGATCCAGAATATATGAAAAGTCGCTAGTTATAATATGTCTAGTAGAATGCGTGGTGCAGTTGCCGCATAAACGTGTTTCATAAGCTGCTTGTTGTTCCCACGATCCCACGGAATTTCAAGCGGATAATCTAGTCTCTAAGTAAGCATGCATTATGCATCCTAATTATGCAGATAAGAAACTCTTCGAAGATCACAAATAGCTGCATAACTTGAACTGCTTCTGCGACTTTTCATTGCGTGATTTTGTGTCATCATCAGTTATTATCACGATAAAATATGGTTTTATTAAGAATTCTGTAAATTTATGCATAATAAGTACGTGTTGTGCGATGGCAACTTTGCACTTAAATCGTTCGCAGTAGCTAAGTGCGAATGCTACTATACGATTCCATGCTGTTGAAAAGTTTTTAATGGTCGTAAAGGACTATTTTCCTGCGAAACCAGCGATCCTCGCGCTTCTGCTGCCATCGTAAAAAACACATAATATAGCGTAAATGACCCAAGTTACCTACAATAATCGATACGTGGCGCCCGCATAATATGCAATATTGAAATACTGAAATATTGCATATTTGCGTGCCGTTATCACTGTTGGATTTTTTTAAGCGCAATAAAATATTGCAATATACAAGTTATTAATATCTGTGTCATTATAACCTCAAGCAATTTAAATAGCATTGATAATTTTTTAAATAATGCCAATCTTAAAGAAAAAATATATAGTTTTAACGAAATAGTAATAAAAAAATAAAAAGAAAGAAGCTTAGATCCAAAATCTTTGGAAAGAAGTTTGAAACTTTCTATTTGTGTGAAAAAGTTTTGTTCATTTTTTAATATTAAGAGAAAAGAGATCTCATCTTCTATTAATAATATTTAAATTCTAATATAACATTATGTTTGCGTCACAAATGTTGTTATTGGTGATATTTGTTTTTGTTAGTATTTGAGGCTTTTACGATGTGCATGATCTGGCATTAATTAATATCACTCCTTCCTGAAGTGAATTGAAATATTCACGATACATTGAAATTAGATAAAGAATTTATGACTCAAGAAAATCAATCTTAATATTTATTTTCTTATATCAACCGAATTAATAGTAATTCAATGTCGAAAATATATCATGGTATTTAACGATTGAACTATATTTGATTATTCACGAAAAAATAAATTTCGATTCACATTGCTAGAAACTTTGTTCTACATTTGCATTTTCGTATCATAATTTGATGTGCTGTAATACTCTGAATTATTAACATGTTGGATAGTAGATTTCATAACATATCAGTAATATTCCAAACATTGTTCTCGAATATGATCTCCCGTAATCGATATCAGAATGGTGATTATGTAACCTTAGTGTGAATATTAATGTGCGCCCACACAATGTACATGCTGTTAGTTATTAATGCCGATCAATCTGTTGCAGTAAACGACAAACACGTTGTTACATGTGAGCATTAAGGATAGCTTATCTAAACACTATAATTTACTTACACATAATTTACTAATAGCTCCATCGTTTCTCTTTATCATAATTATTATAATTATTAATGAATAATACGGTTTATATTAACACTTCTCTCTCACGATTATCCGTTTTACATAATAACTATTTATAGTGATTTAGCCTATTATTTAGCATTATAAATTATTTATAAATTGTTTGTATAACACGTTGGATATTAATTAATACTCAATATCATTATTTGCGAGAAATACTAACAAATTGCTACGATAATGCATTAATTTTCAATGTATTCTACAGAGTCATAAATGTCATAAACTTTACCTTTTCTCTTATCGCAGGCAAATTGGTACAGAGCTTCGCAATACTGCCGTTATCATGGGATGCATTTGGCGAGTATAGCTTCGCAGGAGGAAAACGATAGGCTCGAGAAGCATATCAAGGATTTCGGTCTTGGTCATGAACATTTTTGGACATCCGGTACCGATCAGGCTGAAGAAGGAACGTTTTTCTGGATGGCTAACGGCAGGCCGATCACGTTCGAGAATTGGAACGTCGGCGAACCAAATAATTTCCGGTAAGAATGTTTTGATTGAGACAATTTATATTCCTTCTGATATCGACCGCAATTTTATTGCGATATAATTGACTTAAATCGAATATTACAGCTCGTTTCCGATAGAAATTCATTCTCTTGTTCTTATCGACGACAATGTACTCTGAAAAAAATTGATTTTATTGAATTTAGACCAGACATTAATTTTTGCAATATTTTTAATATTTATATATTTAATGATAAAGTATATTTATGTAATATAAAATTTTATTATATTTTTTTGATAAAAATACATATTAAAGAAAAAATAATACAATTACATTTTATGAAATATATATGTGTGTGTGTATACACATATAAGCATACGCGTTTAAAACTATTATAATTACGAATTTTATGTTCTAAGAGAGAATTTTAAATTTTATTAAAAATGTTTTAAGTAAATTTTAAGGAGATGCATTAATTCTTAGCCAGAATTAATCACAGTATATATTATTATTCGATTTACCTCTTATGACTTAGTAAAAAAATACTGCACAAACTTAATTTAATGTTCTTACTCTCTCTCTCTCGTGTTTAGATATGAGAATGGTGAGGAAGAGCATTGCTTGGAGCTCTGGAATAGGGATGGCAAAGGTCTCAAATGGAACGATAGCCCCTGCAGCTTCGAGACTTTCTTCGTCTGTGAAGTGCAATGATGAGTTTGTGCGAAAGGTAAAGGACGGGGGGAAACTACACGTGCGAGTGAGTATTCGTGCATCTCGTGGCGTGTTTTCAGAATGATTCTCGAGAAAGTGTGACGTTGGTCATCCGTTTGTTTTGGCGGACTTAGTAAGTGTGAAAGAGAAATAAAGAGAGGAAGAGAAAGAGAGAGGAGGGGAAAGAAAAGAGAGACAGAGAAACTTCAAATGTGACATGTGCGCTTGGACTGAAAACTACGTGCGATTAGCCGGTCGCTACAGTTGTCACGTTCGCGTATCCGGCATTTACGTGTGCGCGAAACGACATACGGTTCAGTCAGTTCTTTCCGTATCACCAGGCGACAGACCGAGCGTCAGATAAATCCGCAGTGTCGGACGATAAAAACAATTTGTTCATCTTTTGTACAGAAACGGTTTTAGACGGATATTCGATTATATGCACTATACTTCGGAGTTCTTGCGAAAGATCTTATGTTGAATTTAAAAGGATAATTATATAATATATATTTTTATTATTTTTATTAAAAAACATATATAAATATCAGAGTTTTTAAAAATCATAAATATCAAAGAATTTTTTTGTATTTGTATATATTCTAGTGGAAAATAATTTGAATAACCGGTGTTTGTGTAAAAAGAGAATATTTTATAGGATTAGGAGACTCTTAAGATGACCATATATTTATCAACATTTCTAAAATATAATGACACTGCTTATAAAATTCTTTCAAATTCTTTCACCGACAAACATACTGCATGAAATCTTTATTGCAATCGAAAAATCGATCAATTAACATAACTTCATGATATAACTTTAGATATCGTTCTTTTATTATATGTATTTTAAATAAATAAAAATTAAATTAAAATAGGCATTATTAAATGTAAGTATATTGCTGTTATAAATTATATTATGTCTTGATTAATTATGTGCTAATTATTATTCAAATCATTATCTCTATGCAAGAAGATTCTTGTATAGGTTCTTCGATTGCAGCAAATCTGAAAGTTTTTGACGTATGGTGATACTATATATTGATTAATTAATTCTCCAACAAAATATAGATTAATTAACATGTATATCATAGATATTAAAAGCGTCGTAATTGCAGGATGAATTAACGATCAATAAACGTAAAAAATAATTTTGATCGTACATATTATATATATGTTGCATATATTTTTAATATTGAATCAAAAATTAGGCAATTATTTAGCAATTAAGATAGTGATGGACTCAATTCACCAATTTATGCACGAAGTAGTTAAATCAAACAATTTCTTATAACATGCTCATTTCACAAGTGTATGTGAAACTTCACTATATTTTAGTTGCTTGTTTCTTATATCAATACTATAAATAACATATGTATGTATATAAATGGGATATATGTGAATTTTGTATATATATATATAAGTAAGTTACAATATATAGTGACTTGCTGCGAGTATAATATTGTTATTAGTACGAATAAACCAAAAGATTCTAGTGATGCTGTAATGCATTCTGATATTGAAAAATGCAATCATTTAGATACTTATGATATGTACATTCATTATAGAGATTCTTTTACAAAACACATCTTTAATAAACAGCAATTGCGACATCGTTATTATCTTGATAATCTTAACATTCAACAATATAATTTGGATTATTGGATCATTTTAGATGATCGGTTTCACATATTATTATCTTTATAGATTTTCGGATTTTAAAATTCTAGATAAGGAACTTAAAACCTTTTGTATATTTTTAATTTATACCTAATCATAATTCTGTGAAATCTAGATGTTTTAAAATTATAATTATATAAATGTAAAATCACGTTTTTATGCTTTCTCGAGATTTGAGTTGCTAACTTTTTAAATTTTTGAATTTTTAGGAGCATCTTTAGTACTAATATTTATACATGTTTGCATTTTGAGCTCCTCACACGTAACTTAAAGAACAAATTTAAATTTTATATTTTATAATTTGAAATTTTTGACTATATTAATGCATAAATCTCAAATACTTATTATCATAAATGTAAACGAATTACACATATAAATGAATAAAAATATAGTTTGTTCGATAACATAACGGTCGCGATTTGCGTTAATTAAATGGCGGTATAAATAAGCATCGTAATAGATTCCGCATGAATAATAGTTAGTCGTTGTAGTAAATGAAACGAGAGTTTATTATATATATTTCCCATAAATGTCAGAGTACGGTGTTGTACATGGCATTATTTAGCACTAAATAATAAAATCAAAATTATGCTCTGATACGTTCCTACGTATTCTTTGTGTGCAAGCTTTTCACTGTTTTACTGTTCATTACAATATATTATTAAAGTTCCAATGATCAAAATCGCAAAATCTTTTCCATATGTTTTATTAATAAAGAATCGAAAGCATACACGCATTTTAACATTAAATAATTTGTAAAAATTGACTTTGAATTGTGTATCATGAGTATCTCAATTAATTAATTTATTCATTTTCTGATAAATTCCATACTAATTATTATTATTTCATTTTCAAAATTATTTTAGTAAAATATCGTTTGTTCGTAAATTATTTATAATGGATATGCGAGAATTGGAAATGACACACATAAAGTATGTTATTACATTTCACATTTATTATCAAAAAGGAAAAGAGATCAATATTTTAATAATCTTAATGATTTATCTGATTACGTATTTTTAGTTTTCTGTCTTTCCTCTCTTTTCTATCTCTTTATAAATTATACATTTTTTTCTGATATTATTTTATATTTAATTAATCTTTTTGTAATACATTCATTAAATGTGAGAATACACTCTACAATTATTTAGAGAAATGTATCTTTATTGTTTTTAATTTAATCTTTTTTATCAAGAAAAGAAAATGTATTTAAATTTATTACAAAAAATTAAATATTTAAAAAATTGTGGCAATAGAAAAATATGTTTCCTGCCGTAGAAAAATAAGAAAATTTTGAAAGTTTAGATTTTATATATCTCTCTTAACATTTAAGAGATTAATTTTGTCTATATTTAAAAAAATAGCTTTTATATTAAAAATATATTATATTAAAAAATTATATAAAACTATCGTAGCATTTTCATTATTAATATTACATCTTATTAATTGACAAGAAAGAAAAGGAACATTGGTGTTGCTTTGATAAAAATTGCAAAACAATGTTGCTATCGTCGCGTAATGAATTTTTCTGGTTGACATGAGTCATGCTTCAGCATTTCCGACAGAATTCTGTTCCCACCTGGATGTCTCGTTTCCTTTTCTCATCTAGATTGACAGAACCAATTAGTAGTTCTGTCGATTTTTCCCATCTCTGGGAAACAACAGTGTCGAGAGCAAAGTGGAGGAGAACGAATTGAAGGGAGAAGAAAATGGAAGGGGTTGAAAGAGTCGTTGGATATCTGGAGAGTAGAGAAGGGTCGGTAACGAGAATCGTGCATTGTAGATATATAGCTATAACGTTACATAAGATGTTGCCATAATCGAGTAAAATAAATTTCGTCGTGAATTCTGCAATTTCTTAAGGTAAAGTTACGTTGCAGTGCTCGGGAAAGTGCATTATATATATCATGATTAATGATTATGTAGTAAAATTTTCAGAGAGCATTTGCATAAAGGAGCATACAATAAAATAGATAAATCAAAATAAATACAGCAAAAAAGCACTCATTTCGTGATGTAAAATAAATTCTCTGTACAATTATTCTCTGTATAATTATAAAGATAATATAAATTCTTTTTCAATTCGTCTATTTTTCATGGAGTTCACAAGTATATGTAACAATGTCTCACAACATAATTGTACACGAACCGGATAAATGTTTTTCGTATTTTATGTAGCTTTATTCTCATTGTTAGAGAATGTGCTTCGTCTTTCGTTCAGCTGTTTTACACGAATATGAGCGATAAAAGGAATAAAAAGGAATGCAAGACGCGCCTTAAATTTAGAATATATTTAGATTCATTTTATTTGTGCGAGTCGGTTGAACCGGTACGCTATAACAAGGAATTTATGCTACGGAACTTTATTTAGATAGCAATAAATGCAGATTCGTTGGAGAAGCGGCAGGGTATTCCGTGGGGGGCCGTAAACGCAGCGTACGGTATGTAACAATGCGCATACAATACAATGCGACAGAGGAGCAGTTCTTGTCCTTTACACAGACCTATCGTAATACGATACAATGCACATGAAATCTTTAGCATGCATCTGTTATATCGGTGTGGCCAAGTTTTGAGATTTTTATCGGAGGACCATTGCGCGATTCTCTCGTAGTTTTACCTCGATGCCATTACAATCGCGAAACTATTCGCGGCAATATGGCACGAATTAAAAGAAAATTGCACGTTATTTTTAAATTTGACAAATTACAAAATAATACATTTTTATAATATATTGTTATTTTTATAATAAAATTATTATTTTAATAATATATTATTTTTTTTCCTCGCATAAATTGCAATCATTTTGATTATGATGATATATATCATTGAGTGAAAATATTTTATGAACCATTTTTTATGTAAGCTTGATTTATTGATTTTGGATTAAAAATATAAGAAATATAAATAATTGTATATAAAAAACTGAAAATAAAGAGCCATAAAGCAAGGAAATTAATGTGAATTTTTTATATAATATGAAAATAGCAATTTTTATATTTTATTCACATATAATTCATTTGATTAAAAAGTGAAAAGATATATACAAATATAAATATATATGTAAGATATATATATAATGCGAGTTGTTTTCTCTCTAGATTTATTTTTTATTTAATACATTATTTATAATTTAAATAGAAATTTATTTTAATAATTAATCGGAACATTCATAAAAATAAAGATTTGACATTTATATGAAATATTAAAATCAATATATATACATTTATTTAAAGATAATACATAATATTTTATAATGCACTTAATTATTTATATTATTTCAACAGCTTTTAAAAAAAATTTCTACAAATTCACCAAACATTAACTCTTGTTTTCTTTTCTCTCCTTTATCAGCAATCGATGAATCAAGCAATCTGCGTATCTCCAATTTCTACTATTGATAATTATAATTTAAAGATAAATATATCGAAAATTTATATTAAAAATATTTATAAATCAAATGTAAAACATTCATAAATCATATGTAAAATATTAAAAAATATAAGTATATGGATAATATAAAATAATTGTTTACAAATATAAAAGTGTATTAGTGAAGAAATAAAATAAAATTAATGTGCAAAACAAAAGGATTATAACACAATTCGAGAGAAAGAGGGAGAGAGAGAGAGAAAAGGAGGGAGAAAATTTTATTTATATATTCATATTTTTAAATAAATTATGTTAGGTTTATGTAAATTATGTTAGGTAATTTATTATATTAAGCGTTTGTTTAATTTTGATGTTATTTTTGTTACTTTAATTTACTTGAACAAATTCTAGTCCACTACAGTTTCTGTCTAACATATACGATATTTGCTACATATATTA